TCATCCATGCCACGGTAGCAGTACTGCAGGCAGATGGTGAACGCCAGCTCCTGCTGCGGGGGCACCAGCAGTGTGGGCACTCATCCTGGGCCACGGCCACACTGTCCCCCCAGTACCGACCCTCGCCAGTGCGGCTCTTACCCGCAGTTTCTGCAAGCCGCACAGCCGGCTGTAGAGGCAGCGCGAGGGGCAGCCAAGGTTCCAGGTGTGCGCCAGCGGGCTGCCCACCTCCTCCGGGCTCTCCTTGTTGGTGCACTTGAGGTCCACGTCCAGCTCCTGTCACGGACGGCATCCAGCCATGGATGCCCCACAGGTCCCCCCACCCTACTCCCCAGAATTGCCCCGGCACAGGCCTCAGCAACCAGCTCCCACCTCGGGTATGTCGGTGAGCTTGGCCTCGCACTTGGCGATGTCCCCAGGGGTGGCCACCACGCGGGTGTAGATGATCATGATGTTGGAGAACTCAGCAGCGAAGCCCAGCTGGACAGTGATGCCACAGTCAAAGCGGAGGTAGCGGCTCTCTGGCAGGACTGGGGAGGGGGACAGCAAGTGCAGGGCTGGGACCTGCAGGTCCTCAGGGCTGGAGCTGCACCCACAGGTGAGGTGACCATCAGGGTCACCCCAGAGCAGGGATGGCAACATGAAGCTCCCGCACTGCGCTGCAGATTCTCTCCACCAGAGAGAGAAACCCAGCAGGGGCTGCCCGCCGCCTCTCCCTGCAACTCGGTGCTGTCCCCACCCTGGGTGCCAGCTCTGGCTGCGGTGGCCATGACCCTCACCATGAGCCTTGGCCCACTGCAGGTTCCTGGCAGAGGACTCATCCCGGCCTGGGGGGCGGATGGGGTCCGTCAGAGCTCGTCTCTCAGAGAGGTTGCTGCGGAGCTCCAGCGCCTGCCGGCCCCGCGTGATCTCCAGCGTGCCCATGTCTGTGGGCAGCACAGGGGGTTGGTGGAGGCCACCCTTGGGGTCATTGTCCCCCACCACTCCCCACTCACCCTCAGCCACCTTGTCCAGCAGCACCGTGATCTTCTCATCCTCCAGCAGCCAGCGCTTGAGGAAGGTGACAAAGATGCCATTGGAAAGTTCACCCTGGCTCAGCTCATAGGCTTCAGCATCCGCACACCTGGGAGGAAGGGCAGCAGTCAGCTCCAGCATGGGCTTCGTCACTCCCCTGGAAACCAGCCCCAACTGGGAGACAGTCTGGGGAAGCCAGAGCCAGGTGCCCACAGCTCTACCCACCACCGTGCTAGGGAAAGGTGGGAGCTGTGGCTGGATCCTGGATCCGTGACCCAAATCCCTGTCTTCCAGAGGAGCCTCGGGGCTTAATCCTTTTGGGTGCTGCCTGAAGCCAGGCAGCGCTGTGCGCACCTCTCTGCTCTGTAAGGGACTGGGGGCTGCAGCTCGCCCACCACCTCCAGAGTTGACGGGAGGGAGCGACACATGGGGTAGGGTGTGAACGGGGCTGAGCCATGGAGGGGGGGCTGAGTCCCAGCCCCCTCTGAGCCAGGGGGGTCACTGCCTGTACCGGGGTGGCAGTGAGGGGACCCACGTGTCATAGTCGAAGACGATGTTGGCGGTGACCTGCAGTGCCCCGACTTGTGGGATGATGTCGTCATTCCTGCGAGAGAAGTGCTGCTGAGCAGAGCTCGGACCTCCCACCCCCTCAAAACCCACCCCAAGGCACCTCAGAATCTGGGGGCTGCCCCATACCCCTCTGCACACCCATTATGGCATTTGACGGCTCAACTGGTGCAGCGATGCTTTGGGGCATCCAAAGCCAAGCGGTTCGGATGGGACCCCAGGGACACTCTGCTCCCCCAGGAACCAGCACCCATGGGCACCCCTGTGCCCAGACCTCCCAGTGTGGCAGCTTGTCCCCGGGCTGGTGGCTGGGGCTGGCTCACCTCTTGCGGCACATGTCAAGCAGGAAGATGTTGAGGCCAGTGTGGCGCTGCTGCATACTCTGCAGCACCCGCTGCACGCACAGGCAGTGGGCCGAGGTGTAGGAGCTGGGCGCGTCGATGGGCACCATGAAGCTGTTGCCAAAATTTTCGTAGCCATGCCCGGCATAGTAGAGCAAACCTGCCAGGAGGGGTGAGAGCAGGTGACTCCTTTGATCTGCTGGTGCCCGCTTCTTGCCTGGCTGATCCCCAAGACCCCACCAGCAAAAAACAGATGGTCCCCCCCACAGCTGGAGCCATGCCAGTGAGCGCTGCCGCACCGTAGACACCCTTGTCGAGGAGAAGAAGGAACTCGTTGACAGCCATCTGCATCTCAGCCTTGCACAGGTCCAGCAGCGAGACCACCTTGAAGTCAAGCTGGCGGAGGAGGGTGCTGAGGGCGTGCACATCCACCATGGGCGCTTGCAGCTGCTTGTGGTGCAGGTAGTGCATGTTGCCAATCAGCAGGGCCACTTTGTCGGTGGCTGCCGGGACAGAAGAGGGAGGTGCTGGGGATGGAGCGGGATGCTCCTGCCATCCCCGCTATCTTCAGTCCACAGAGTTCACACCCAGCTGTGGCTGGTGTCACCGCCCCTGGGTGTAGGGGTACCCTGTGGCATCCCTGTCTGACTGGTCTGCTCTCCCTGGTGTGATGCATCTAAAGCACCCCTGACTGAGCAGAGCCTTATGGGGTGACATTGGGAATGGTCACAGCCTCACAGGGCCACCCACCCCTCCTGGACAGGCTCTTACCATACAGCTGGCCAGGGCTGCCATGCTCTGGGGAGCCTGGAAAGAAAGAAACGATGTGCCATGGCCCCATGGTGCCTGGGGAGCACAGTGGGCAGAGCAGCAGGGAGCTGCCTGCTCTGCCTCCACCTACCTTCATCCCCTTCCTGCCAGGAACCTCCAAAGGCAAAGAGCTGCGGGCCTGCAGCAAAGGGAAAGGCAGGGAGCCTTGTGCACGGCAGCACCTGCCAGCACAGGCTGGAGCCCCCCAAAACCATGGGGCAGCTATGGGTGGGCTTTATGGGGGAGCAGAGCAAAGCCAGGATGTCCTACGCAGGATGGGGGCCCTGGAGGTTTGTCCAGGACACTCACCAATCTCCACATCCACTTCCCAGCTCCACACCTCATGGAAGAGGTTGAACACGCGGCAGGAGTAGCTGCCCCGGTCAGCTGTCGTCACCATCTTTACCTGCCGGTGGGACAGAGCAGGCGCTGGGATGGCGTCCTCTGCCAAGCCATGCTGTGCCATGCCACACCACGCTGTGCAGTGCCACGCTGAGGGTCCCACCATACCTGAAGCTGGGGTGCTTGTGCACCCTCCACGGGGCGCCGGTTCCTGAACCACTGGTACTGAGGTGGGGGGTTGCCAATGGCTCTGCACTCCAGTGCCAGTGTGTCCCCCTCAGCCAGACAGCAGGGCGCCGCAGGATCTGCAGCCCTGCCATGGTCGGGCAGTAACCGCTGGCTGGGGAGGCGACAGGACAGCAAATCCAGCACCTCGCCACGGCAGGGGTCTGCCAAGCTGGCCCCAGGTCCCTCACCCAAAGGCCCTGGCACCCACAGGTGGCATGAGCCAGCAAGCACAAGGAGGACACAAGGCATGCGGCTCCTCTGTGGGCACAGTCACCCCAGCAAGCTGAGCCAGGGTGCAGCATGGCAAGCAGCGCCCTCTGGGAGCCACCCTGGTCCGATGAGACAAGCGGTGCCCCATGAGTGCCAGCCCAGGGACGCAGAAATCGAGGCCCACCTGAGCTGGGGCTGCTGCTCCTCTCCACCTGGACATGGGCCCACCTGGAGAAGGCAAAGGCGGCCCCACAGTTCACACGGCAGATGTACCACTCGTGTTGGCCTGGTGGGGCGGCCGTGTCAATCACCAGCTCTGGGGCTGCAGCTCCAGGCACCTGAGACAGGAGGGGGCCCAACAGTTGGAGGCTCCCACCAGGTGCTCTCACCATGGATGGGGCCCGGGGGCCCTGCTCAACGTGGTGCAGCAGGACCTCACCTCCCGCTTCCCGCAGA